CCTGAACCTGTCTCCAAGGTCCCCTTCTCTCTGACTTCTCAGTGAACCAGAGCAGCCCAGCCTAGGCTCTCCTGTTACTTCTTCTATGCACCTTCCTTGTTTCACCATCCTAAGTAGATTTTTGCTGCCATCATGGACGCAATACCCTTTGGACATCCCCATTCCCCAGCCCCTTTTCTTTAAATAAATGCAATTTGTCTTTATTCACTGTCTGAGATTGCTACTTAGCCTGCCTGCGCACCACTGACTTTAACCTTTCAGCTCCCAGAACCAATTTGATACCTGCTTTCTAACAATTTCTTTACTGGCTCATCTGTATTATGTGATAAAACAAAAACTACTCTTTTCATGTTTTTGTATCCATGGGAAGTTCAATATTTTCAATCTCTCCAAATGCTCCAAAATATTAATTTGTTCTTAAGAAGTATCTGGGCTCAATTCACCCACAAAAACCTTTTTTGGGGGGCTCCTTCCCTTTTAAAGCTTTGGCCCTTTGGGGGGGAATCTATCAATTTGCCATCCAGTCTGTCTTCCTTCAGTTCCAAAACCTTATCAACACTAGCAGCATCTTTGAAAAGCACAAATTCAAATCCTCTTGATCGTCTGGTGACTGGATGCTTTAATTGTGCAGTCTCCAACTTCCCCAAATGGAGACGAATCTTCAGTCAGATCTTTCTTGCTTGTATCTCAGCTTAAGCCTCCAATAAACATTTGACAGTCACCTTGCTCACGTTGACCTTGGACCCCTCTGCGAATCCCTCTGTTGCTGTACCAGTTCACATCCTCCATGGTGGCGGAGTTGCCGCTGGGGGGCTGGCGTGCGATCGGTGCCGCCAGGCGTTGTTTGGAGCTGGATTTAAAATGTCTGGGGAAGAGGCCTCACAGCTCTTAGGACAGTGCGCAGTGCACAGAAGAGGCTTATACATACTCTGTAATTCCACTGCCTTTCCCAACAGACCTTGCATTAGAAAATGGATGCTGTGCCGTCATTACCCATCTCAATTCATTCCTTTAACGTTCAAACTAAATCCTCTCTACCAACACTAACGCCCATTTCGACAAGTGAAGATAAAAGCAGTGGCCTTCACATGAAAATTTATTTCTTGTTCTCTCACATTTAGTATACATACTTGAAACAACTTTAACCCTTGGTCAGGTGGCAAAGGTGCTATCCCTTTCAATGTGTTTTTCCTTTCTCCCCACCCAAGAGGTAATCTGAATGAAGGAGCATTCCATGGCACAGGTGTTCTGTACATGGTGAGCACTAAAATTTCTTTTAATCAATATTTTCTAGAATATAAAATCTCATAGCATTAAGTTTTTTCTTAAAATGACCCACTGCAAAGATTCCAAACATTTCTACCCATACATAGGTACGTAAAGGAACAGCCCAATACGTTGTTTACAATTTTTGTCTTGTCATACAAACTGTCTTCGTATACAAGGGCATAAGTGGAAAATGACTCCCCCTTTTCCCCAAACATCACAGCAGACCAATTTTTGCTAATATATGATGAAGTTAAAACATATATCTCTTTCTGAATTCTAAACAGTTAATTCTAGACACTAGCTTCTAAATTTTGTAACCTACCAATCTGGTATGGACATGAATAGTTCCAGTGCTTTTCAACTTGTCCCTGAATTTTTCTCTCCTCAAAGTTCCAGGCAGTAATTGATTTTAATGCCCTCAAATTGGATAAAGCTGACTACTTAGATCTTATAAATTACATATACTCTATGATCACTTAGAAGAGAGATAATGACTTACATGTATTATGTCCCTCAAACTACTTAGCACCATGAAGAGAATTCTTAATACTAATTGATGGGCTAATGAATCTAACAATGAAATATATGACAGTGATAGTCTTTTTTGATTTTTATTTTGAGAATATGTTTATTAAAGCTGGGGACAGTGAAACAAGGAAGGGCTTAGGATAGAAGCAACAGGGTAGAGCCTAGGCGAGGCTGCTTTGGCTCTCTCAAGACTTTATAGAAAAGAAGTAAGCCAAGGGGGGGCTGCTGTTGGCTCACTGGGAAGTAAAAGTCACAGTGACAGAACTGAGCCAAGGAGGAGCTGTTGGCTTACTGAAGTCAGGGAAAAAGGGGCCTTGGAGACAGGTTTGGATTAGCCTGGGATAAGCTCCAGCTGCCCATTGCTCCCCTGACTGCAAGTCCCATGGGGACTCTTAGAGTTTAAGAGATGCACGCCTGAGAGGAAAGAAATGTGTGGGCATGCTCCCAAGAAGGAAAGCCCTGACAATGATAGTATTAAAAACACTAATTTGTTACTTTTCTTTTATACAACTCAAATTCCCTCCTGTGGTACAGATCTTTCTTTATTGCAATGTTCTCTGCTACCTTGTCTATCCCAAATAATTATATACCTGCCAACTTCTTAGTTGATGCTACTGACAGTTCCCTAGGTCATTAGTAATGAGAGCTAAGGCATTAAACTTAAAAGGCTCTAGGCTAGTTTAAATGTGGTGAAATACTGTTAAAACAGAATTGCACTGTCTATATTTTCTACCTTCATGCTTCTCCATGAACCATTCTATGGTTCCTGTAAGATTGTCCTGCAAAATTCAAATTCTGGGTCTTCTACCTTTGAATGGCTTGAGTATCATAAAACATGACTTATTTGGTAGCAAGAACATTTCCAGGAGTTTCAAAAGGAACCACTACTCAGCTAAAAAAGTTACAACCATCATTTTTCTTTAAACTGAGGACATACAGCATTGATTAGAAGGAAAAACACAACAACCCTGTCCTGTCTATAATTGAAAAGGACACAGAAGTGGAGCTGTGTGTTTAAGAGGCACTACACAAAGTCCTGTTCTGCATATGAAGGGGACAGGAACACTGTTTGTGGTATGTAATGTTCAATATTTGCTACATTACTCTTAGCACTTTTGCACTTAATCTCAACACATAACCAGTTCAGATTATCAAAATAATCCTGATTCTGAGCGAGAATTCCACCAATATTTAAAGCTGCTTCTTCCCAGGACAATAGATTATCAAAGTGGTATTCTCTTAAGCTTTGTCAAGGCTCAGACATCCTGAGTTGAACTTAGCAAAGTCCTTGCAAAGAAATCTTCAATAAGAAACTCAACGTATGGGAATTTTAAAGCTTCAAGACTGGCTCATTCAACAGAAATACCACAGGCTTTCTTAGAGCACTGAGTCTAATGATTGTCAATGTCAAGGAGGCACATACACAATTTTACTCAAACTCATGTCTCTTCTGTATGGAAAATGCAGTCAGTCTGACAAAGGGCCAAAAAACATTTTGCCAAGTCTGGATCTTCTAAAGAGCACAGGGAAGCTAAGGGAAAACACTAGGAAACAATTAATGTAAATGTATTGATGAGTGCATCTCTGGGGGAAAAAATAAACCTCAACAAGGCAACAGCTATCCCAACTAAGGATTTAGATTAGAGTTTAGTAATCTAGTATTGGTTCCCAAAGTATTACCTCTGAAGGTAAAGAAAGTCCAAACCCTGAAAGAAAGAGTAAAAGAACCTCAAGGGAAACCCTTCATTACCTTTTATATGCTTCCATTTGTTCTCACCCATCCCAGTACACTTCTTAGAAAAGCCAGGTGCATGCTGGGAACACTGTTCTGACCCTACCGTTTTTCTGGCCTAGTTCCTGTCAACATATGGCCAGATTTCCCCAAATCTCACCACTCCATAATCTGCAACAGGAGTCAGTTCCACAACTATTTGCTGAACTTCAGCATTAATCTCTTTAGCACTGGTTTCCCTATATGATTTTTGCTCTGTCTCTATGAAGCACAGTGTGAACAGAGAAGACCGAGGTCCCTCTCTGGGACAGTCCCAGGGAGCTGAAGATAACGTGGAGTAGTGCATGGCAAAAAATTCCTCTTATGAGCTTAGTCAAACATACATAGTATACATATTCCCCCGGAAAGAAACAATTTACATGAACTAATCAATCAGCAACAGAACCCAAAACTATGGCAGATCAAATTCAAATGTGACAATTTAAAAGAAGAAAGTGCTCCACTGGGTTAATAAATCAGAATTAGCTAAAAGATAATATATTAAATACCACATCATTGAAAACTCCTAGTAGGCGTGTCCCCTTCATCAGTTACTTTTAAAATAACGGTCATAACGGGAGAAAGAGCAAGCACCGTGCTCACTAATGCAGGTTACTGGACTGCTCTGATCAAGCACTGCAGTTCACACACAAACCCTCCTCCACTTCAAGTTACTGAATCTTTCTTCTTCCGGAATGGTGACTTTAGCCTCTTCCATACACTGTTTTTGGGTTTAGACTTTTTCTCCATGGCCAGTACTGCCTCCTTTTCTTTCTTACGGATTTCCCGGACAAGGGCATGGAATACATCATCAATGTAGTAGCGGTATGCAGCAGATGTCTCAAAAAAGGGACAGCTGAATTCTCGGGCCAAAGCCAATCCTTCCTCCTTGGTGACCTTTAAAAATGTAAACCAAGAAAATTTATAATGGTAGCAGTGGAAAACAATTACAACTACCCCCAAAGTGAAGGGGCTACTTTAACAGGAAGAGAGCTCCTCAACTCCGGAGGTGTTCAAGCAGAGTGCAGTGATCTTTGTAATGCTGGGAGGCTGAATTACATGAGTTCTAAGATTCCTTCTGCCTTCAAATTATGTGAAAACTATATCTACTCTATTTTAAAAATAACTTTTTGGAACAGGGAACAGTTATAGATATCAAACATGCAATCTGCATTTTCTTCATACTTTTCATTTAAAAAAAGTAAAACACGAGGCAAGCAGATGTATACTTAAACTACAATACTGAAAACTATAAGGAACCCAAAATTGATCTATCCAATTGTAGATACACTATAATTTCTCCTACTTTTGGATATTTAGACTTTTTCTAATTTTTCGCTACCATAAATAGCTTGGCAATAAACATTTTATATATAAATCCCTGAATAGATTTTTCAAAGTGAAACTACTTCCAAAAGTAGTGTGACCATTCATTGCTTCCAGTAGTACTCATGAGTGCGCCCATTTCGCTACACCTCCAGAAACTCTATACCAAAGAGCAAAATTTTAAACATCATTGCCACCAGGCTGGCGTGGCTCAGCGGTTGATCATCGGCCTATGATCCAGGTGATCAGGGTTTGATTCCCCGTCAGGTCAAATGCTCAGGTTGCAGGCTCGATCCCCAGTGGGAGCGTGCAGGCGGCAGCCGATCAATGACTCTCTCATCATTAATGTTTCTATCTCTTTCTCTCCCTTCCTCTCTCTGAAATCAATAGACATATTTTTAAAAATAAAATAATAATAATAAATATCATTGCTAACTTGAAAGGTATCACTTATTCTAAAATCCTTTACAATTTCTCTTATTCTTCCCTTCCCAGGCTCATAATCCTCACCATCAGGAAGTATACCTTCAAGTCGAATTTCAGTTTCTCCTAATGCAGCATAAACAGATTTATATCCATATTTTAGGAATTGAACATTACATGATCTTTTAATTAATGCATAGTCTATGTGTCATCTGGTTACTATACTGTGGATTTTGTCCTATAAATTGATTCCTAAAATCCAGATTTTTATCCCAAATGACAGCAAATTAGTAATATACCAGGCAATTTTCAAGGTCAGGGAGAAGATAATTTTGAATTTTTACTTTCAGACAGAGGAATCTGTAAACAGAAAAACAAAAATGATTAATCCCTCTAAATTATAGACAGCATCTTCAACTCCCTCCTCACCTGCCTTAGTTGCTTTAGATCAGACTTGTTTCCTACAAGAACCACAGGTGTATCATCAGTACGTCGAACTCGATAAATAAGCTGTTTAAACTCCCGAACTTCATGAAAACTTCGACGGTCGGTGATAGAGTAACAGATGATAAACCCTTCTCCTGCCCTCATATACTGATCTCGCATGGCTGTAAACTCTGCCTAGAGGGAAACAAGGGTCATTAATGTAATGATGCAACCTAGAACTACATAGGTAATAGCTATTTATTTCAGATTGAAGAAGAGATATGTCAATTACCTGCTATCCTGAGTCAGAGTGCATGAAAGATTAAAAGACATGAACTAGTGATATTCTCTGCATATGCCTTCCCCCTCCCCTTTACTAGAGTGAAAATGTCTGTGTTCATATCATTCTGGGATTTGATACCTGTCCAGCAGTATCCAAAATGTCCAGATTGGCAGGCTCATCATCAATACGGATCCGGATTTTGTAAGCATCTTCTACAGGAAGGAAGAAAGGTGTACTATGAACCCATAAACGCAGGGATATGCAACCCTACTTTAAAATCCATCTTATGGAAAAGCAGATTATGCAAGTTCTTTAAGTTCCCACATTTTCTTAGGAAGTACGCAAAATCCACTGAAATACATAAACTAAGTTGTTGTTTTTTCACTTAAGCAATGATGTAAGTTTATTCATTGCCTCACTTTATAGGACTTCACCTACATTTCTAAGCTAAAAAGGGTTCTGGGATCATTTTTTAAAAACATATTAAGCCAACAAGTAACTTTACCACCTATTAAATAGTTATTAGATGCAGGCATTACATTAAATAATTTATATACATTAACTCAATAATAATATGGGGTACTGTTATCTCCATTTTACATATTTAAAAAGTTAAACTCTAGCCCGGCTGGGCGTGGCTCAGCAGTTGAGAGTCGACCTAGGATCCAGGGGATCAGGGTTCGATTCCTGGTCAGGGCACATGCCCAGGGTTGTGGGCTCGATCAATGACTCTCTCATCAATGATGTTTCTATCTCTCTCTCTCCCTCTCCTTTCCTCTCTCTGAAGTCAATAAAGATATATTAAAAAAAAAAAAGTTAAACTCTAAAAATTAAATCTTCCCACATTATACATTAATTAATGATATAACCAGAATTAAAACCTAGGGCTGCTGGACTCAAAAGCCATATACTTAACCATATGTTATAGTTCTTCCTCACTTAATACTATAGAAAAGAGAAAAAAAATCATAACTAACTTTACTATTTTGTAAATAATCCATATTGTCATAATTTCTCCTTTATGAAAGCAAATTTCTTTATGCATATTATTATAGTAACCTTGGAAAATACAGGAGAGTAAAAAAGAAGAGGAAAAAACCCACTTGACATGTCCATCATTCAAACAATTGCTGCTTACATCTTGATGTATTTTCATATAAAAATTTTTATCTTGAACCCCTGCTTCTGACTCTTCTTCAAAGGTGAAGAGCCCCCTAAATCAATGTTTCTCAAACTGCAGGACATGATCCATTACAATTAGTGAGTTGTGAATGAATTTAATATTAGAGTTGGGACCAGCATTAAAATAAACAAGCAGAAACTCTAAATAAAAGAGAAAATACCGAGTGCACCACAGATAGTGAGGCAAGTACAGTTTCATGACATTTTAATTACATGTGCATATGTGTACTAGTTATGAGGTAAACTTTTTCTTCTTAGAGTTAGCAGCCAAAGTTTAAAACAAAATGCACTAACTTATAAACTCAATGGGAACAGACATCACATCCTTTTGCTCACCACTCTAGTTCCAGGGCCTACCATAGTGCTGGGACATAATAGGAACTCAAGTAACATAAGAATTTGCTGGTGAATCAGTTAATATTGTCAGGAGAGTAGCTGATTGGAGGGGGGTGGGGGAACTCAATGAAAAAAAAGAGATATTTTTGGAATTCTAAGTAAATTCTCCTAATTCCTAACTTGGTTTTATTCCTTGAATTTCCACCAGAGTGTGAATCTCTGAACAATGTTCTAAATTTAATAGAGTGCATGAAAAAGCAAGCACTTTTCCTATTTCTCCCTTTCCCCCCGTCCACAACAGCTTCTGTATGAAATGACCACATCCAAAGCTGGGTGAGCACATTCACTGGCTTTGTGGAGAACAGAGCAGCAGAGGCCTGACTCAATGCAAGTCCTTCCTAGAGACCCAGGACCATGACGAAGTATCACATCCTGAGAATACCATTACTATGGCAGACCTGTGCTCTCCCCTAGTCCTACCCTTTTTATCCTGAGATATAACCCCTTAGAATCAAACCTGCTTCCTTATGGTTTAGGAATGACAGTAATATTCCTAGTCTTTATAAAGAAAGGCAAGTTTTTTTTAAAGGGCAAAATGAAGTTATTTTTTTACTCTGTAGCATTTTGCCAACAACAGAGCATTAAGGATTATAAAAGAAATGAAGGAAGACCTTACTATTTAGTGAACTTGAGCTATAAGGAAGTAAATGAAGAGCTTTCGAGGGGAAGGCCAGGCTCTAGATATCTGGATTGTAAGAGTTCAGCAGGCTGGCTCTACTTGTTTTTCTGCTTCCTTTTGTGGAAGTTCAAACCAGCTGACTCACAGTTACAGTCAGCCTCAAGTCAGACCCTTAGAGAAGTGACAGCAAAAGGTTCCTGTTAATTGGCCTTTAAACTTTTCCTTTAATCTAGCAATATAGTATAACCATAAAAATATGACAAAGAAAGTGTCCCATTAATGCTGAATAAAAGACAGAACTTAAAGATTGCTTATGTTCAAATAGAGTTAAGTGAGGAAAAGAAAAATTCATTTGCTTACCAATTGCTCTGATACTCTTGTTAAATAAATCTGAATTGGACACCAAAAGAGGCTCAAAATATAAACAGTTAAAACCCGGTTTTAAAAATTGACACCAAGACACTTTTATGGGTTTATTTAGAAATCTAAGTGATAATCTGACTTACCGATGGTGGGGTCATGATCTTCTGGGAATCGGTGGCTGATGAACTGCATGGTCATGGCTTCAAAACAAGAAATGAAAGTTAAAACCCACACAAAGGTGACTGATACAGAGAAAGAATTGTGTTAACTGCGTGACAGCCAGTCTCCCATTCAGTTTGAGTGGAAGTCACTCGTTTTACGAAATTTTCAAGCTTAGTTTTTATATAATGGAAAGAAAATGTCACCTACCACTCTTCCCTACGCCGCCAGCACCCAGCATCACTAGTTTGTATTCCCGAGAGAGCCCTGCAGGGCTGCTACAGCAGCTCCCAACTGGGCGGGTTCCAGGATCCATCGACTTCCTGGAGGCTCCTGGCTGCCCCAAGGAAAAGGCACCTACAGAGAAGGAAGACAACAGTTAATCCAGGATGGCGACACCGTGACCACAGAGCCGCCGCCAGCGCCTGGCCTTCCCGGGCATACTCTGGGCCGTGACTCCAGCCGCCTGCCGGAGCGCCCTGGGGGCCCCAGGAAAGCCCACACCCTCACCTTCCCTCCAGGACGGTTCAGTCCCAGGACCACCACGGGTTTTCCAAGAGAAAGGGAAAAAGAAAACACACAAAGGAATTCAGAATCTTCCCGGTCTGGGGAACGTGCGGGAGGGAGGCGGAGCTGAGCGCTGAGGCTCGGCCC